CAGACAAGCTTTAGAATGTCTGCACTGTGAACAGATGTAGAGAAGAGAAGACTGTGGATAAACAAGTACAACGTATATAGGAGGATTTGTTTCATCTCTGTGTATTATAAGTGCAAACCACTTAGCCACTGTGCTGTCCCTTCCATCCAATCATCTGCAGAGTGTAACTTCAGCTCTGAGCCTTTTTTTTCTGACATCTCAAACAAGCTTTGTAATGTCTTCACTGTGAACAGATGTAGAGAAGAGAAGATACAGGTAAACAAGTACAACATATTTAGGAGGATTTGTTTAATCTCTGTGTATTACGTGAGGATAGTCACTTTACTGGGTATATGTAAGGATTTATGACCAAAGTAGTTGTAGAGCCTTACATATACCCTGTGAAGTGACTGTCCCCACGTAATACACAGAGATGAAACAAATCCTACTCAATAAGTTGTACCTGTTTACCTGTTTCTTCTCTTCTGTACATCTCTTCACAGTGCAGACATTATAAAGCTTGGATGAGCTGTCAGATAAAAAGGGTCAGAGCTGAAATTACACTCTGCAGATGATTGGATGGAAAGGACAGCACAGTGGCTAAGTGGTTGACACTTATAATAAACAGAGATGAAACAAATCCTACTAAATACGATGTACTTGTTTACCTGCCGTATTCTCTTCTCTACATTAGTCCCCCTACATCCATTCAAAGTACAGATTTGCACAGGTTCTCTCAGCTCTGAAAAGCAGGGGACGGGCAGCTGAAAGTACGCTCAGTGGGGAGAGCACTGGGAGCTGATTAGAGGGACGGGACACCCACCCCCCCCCCTTCACATAGCACATAGGAGCAGAGCTGAGGCTGTCAATCACAGGCTGTGCCCTCCCCTGTCACCATTTTTCTCTTGCTGTCAGGAAAACTTGTCAAAAGTGACTCATGCCGATAGGAGAGGAACGAGGCAGCAGACAGAAATGACACTTAGTGCTCTGGATTGAGACAAGTACACACTGGAGAGGGTTATGCTTTGTTCATATTTCATGTCTGAGGTTTACAGACACCAGGGGCGGTCTGACCATTTGGGCACTAGGGAACTGCCCGAGGGCCCAGGGTCAGTAGGGGGCCCCATGAGATGCCCCTGGTACCTTTCATAGGCTTTTTTGGGTATGGTTTGAGTGTGTGAGAGGACACGGGGCCCCATGATCCCCTATTGCCCAGGGGCCCCATGAGTTGTCAGTCCGCCTTTGCCAGCCACTTTAATGCAACACAGGTTAATGCATGTATGAAGCATCGCACAAATGCAAATGGACCCTAGGCTTGCTTCACCCTTTAGTCTTGCAGAAATGTCACTTGTGTTAGTACAATGAATTCTGAATGGCACCCCAACACACCTTGCTTGTAGTCAAAGTACTGGATATACTGCCCTGAGGTATGTTATATTGATCTTCAGCCGGCTTCTTAGTACAACTGATAAGCAAGTCTTTGCCGCTCAATAATCCATTTCAGTGAATGATCAGTCATAGCAAGGTGCTTTACCGGAAGGTGGCTTCAGTTCCCGGGGTAGTGTTCCTTAACGGGATACCTGTGGAGTGACTTCAGAAAATTCCACCAGCTCCACGCACCCATACCAATCTGCAGAATGAGAGTAATGCTGAGGGAGCCTTCCCTACTCGCCGAGAACCTCTCCACACGTTGTCCCTCACAAGCTTGTTTCCATCCCTGTCCAATCACTCAGTCAAAGTGATGTGGGTTTTCTTGTTTAAAAGTTTTCTCACCCAAAATGGCCACCGAGTCTCCCGAGAGTCCAATCAGATAACTTCCTTTCTGGAGGCCATGGACAGGATCCCGAAGAGACCAATTCCCTTTTAAGACCCCTCTTTCCTAGTAATAATGGCACAGGGCCACCTAAAGGTGGGTAGACTAACTGCACCTGTCTACAGGTGTGTGTGTGTTGTAGCCTAATGGGTGGCAGTGCACTAGCTTGTGTTGCCATAGGTCTGAGCTTTCCCTACTTGCCTAGAACCTCTCCCCATGTTGTCCCTCACAAGCTTGTTTCCATCCCTGTCCAATCACTCAGTCAAAGTGATGTGGGTTTTCTTTTTTAAAAGTTCTCTCACCCAAAATGGCCGAGTCTCCCAAGAGTTCAATCAGATAACTTCCTCTCTGGAAGCCATGGACAGGATCCCTAAGAGACCAATTCCCTTTTAAGACCCCTCTTTCCTAGTAATAATGGCACAGGGCCACCTACAGATGGGTAGACTAACTGCACCTGTCTACAGGTGTGTGTGTGTTGTAGCCCAATGGGTGGCAGTGCACTAGCTTGTGTTGCCATAGGTCTGAGCTTTCCCTACTTGCCTAGAACCTCTCCCCATGTTGTCCCTCACAAGCTTGTTTCCATCCCTGTCCAATCACTCAGTCAAAGTGATGTGGGTTTTCTTTTTTAAAAGTTCTCTCACCCAAAATGGCCGAGTCTCCCAAGAGTTCAATCAGATAACTTCCTTTCTGGAAGCCATGGACAGGATCCCTAAGAGACCAATTCCCTTTTAAGACCCCTCTTTCCTAGTAATAATGGCACAGGGCCACCTACAGATGGGTAGACTAACTGCACCTGTCTACAGGTGTGTGTGTGTTGTAGCCCAATGGGTGGCAGTGCACTAGCTTGTGTTGCCATAGGTCTGAGCTTTCCCTACTCGCCAATTTCCTTATAACAATGGCAGAGGGCCACCTACAGGTGCCTAGAGCCTCTCCCTATGCTGTCCCTCACAACCTTGTTTCCATCCCTGTCCAATCACTCTGTCAAAGTGACGTGGGTTTCCTAATTTAAAGGTTTTCTCACCCAAAAAATGGCCAACGAGTCTGCCAAGAGTCCAATCGGATAACGTCCCTTGTGGAAGCCATAGACAGGATCCCTAAGAGACAAATTCCCTTTTAAGACCCCTCTTCCCTTATAACAATGGGAGAGGGCCACCTACAGGTGGGAAGACTAACTGCACCTCTCTACAGGTGTGTGTGTTGTAGCTCAATGCGTGGAGGTGCACTAGCGCGTGCTGCAGTGTGGTGGGCTGCAAGAAAAGTTGTAGGTCTGCGCTTTCCCTACTTTCCTAGAACCTCTCCCTACGCTGTCTCTCACAAATGGGTTCCTGTCCCTGTCCAATCACTTGCTCAAAGTACGCTAAAGTGATGTGGGTTCCCTTATTTAAAAGGTTCCCTCACCCGAAATGGCCACCATGTCTCTTGAGAGTCCAATCAGATAACTTCCCTTCTGGAAGCCATGGACAGGATCCCTAAGAGACCAATTCCCTTTTTAGACCCCTCTTCCCTTGTAATTATGGCACATGGCCACCTACAGGTGGGTAGACTAACTGCACCTGTCTACAGGTGTGTGTGTTGTAGCCCAATGTGTGGCAGTGCACTAGCGTCTGAGCTTTCCCTACTTGCCTAGAACCTCACCCCACGCTGTCCCTCACAAGCTTGTTTCCATCCCTGTCCAATCACTCAGTCGAAGTGATGTGGGTTTCCTTCTTTACAGGTTCTCTCACCCAAAATGGTCACCAAGTCTCTCAAAAGTCCAAGTTCCCTTCTGGAAGCACTGGATGAGATCCCTAAGAGACCAAGTCTCTTATAAGACCCCTCTTCCCTTGTAATAATGGCACAGGGCCATCTACAGATGGAAAGACTAACTGCACCTGTCTACAGGTGTTCATGCTGTAGCTCAGTCCGTGGAGGTGCACTAGCATGTGCTACAGTGTGGTGGGCTGCAAGAAAAGATGTAGTTCTGAGCTTTCCCTACTTGCCCAGAACTTCTCTCTACGCTGTCCCTCACAAGTGGGTTCCTGTCCTTGTCCAATCACTTGCTCAAAGTGCATTAAAGTGACGTAGGCTCCCTTATTTAAAAGGGTCCCTCACCCAAAATGGCCACCAAGTCTCTTGAGAGTCCAATCAGACAGCTTCACTCCTTGAAGCACTGAATGGGATCCCTAAGAGACCAATATCTTTATAAAAATCTTCATATCTTCCTTTGTAAAAATGGCACAAGGCCACCTACAGGTAGGAAGGCTAACTGCACCTGTCTACAGGTGTGCAATCTGTAGCTCAATGCGTGGCAATGCATTGATGTGTTTTGTTTTGTGGTGGGCTGCTAGGAAAGATGTAGATTTATTCTGGGATGTTTAAATGTATTCCCATGGGCTGCTTAATGCATAACATGTTAATGTGTGCAGAAAATACACACAAATGTGTTGCATTATTGCAATGGCCAGTGGTGAAATGTGAATTTGGCCCAAGGGCTCTATGCCAACCTTTCTCAACCAGGGTGCCCAGGCACCCTGGGTTGCCTTGAGGTTTCTTCAGGGGTGCCTTGGCAAAATGTCTAAAAATTGCATACAAACTGGTATACAAGCCATCGGGTGGAACAAGTCTGCCTTTTAGTTACACAAAGACACTGGTTTTCATTGTGCACCAATACAACCCTCTAGCCGCCAGCACCCTGACAACCAATGACATCATCAGTTGATAAGGAGGATGTCAGCTGCCTGCACAGCATCCTAGTTTGACCCTCCCCTGCCCCTCTCCATCACTGCAGGGGTCACATGAGCCCAGTGATAGAGAAAAACTGAGGAAGAAGAGAAACACTGGAATACTAGTCAGTACCAGTGTGCAAAAGTGTATTTGCTTTGGAAGAATAAATCACCTCTAATGTTGGGTGTACTACACGTGTGGATGTTGCTGTGATATAAAAACTGTTGGAATAGTTTTTCACATTTTAGAATGGGGTGCCTCGGGACTTTCCATAAATTTAAAGGGTGCCTCGGGACTTTCCATAAATTTAAAGGGTGCCTCAGGACTGTCCATAATTTTAAAGGGTGCCTCGGGACTGTCCATAATTTTAAAGGGTGCCTCGGGACTGTTCATCGGGGACTGTCCATAATTTTAGAGGGTGCCGCGGGACTGTCCATACTTTTAGAGGGTGCCTCAGGACTGTCCATAATTTTAGAGGGTGCCTCGGGACTGTCCATAATTTTAGAAGGTGCCTTGACTGAAAAAAGATTGAGAAACACTGCTCTATGCATTGCATAATTTCAAAGGGTGCCTCGGGACTGTCCATAATTTTAGAGGGTGCCTCGGGACTGTCCATAATTCTAAAGGGTGCCTCGGGACTGTCCATAATTTTAGAGGGTGCCTCGGGACTGTCCATAATTTTAAAGGGTGCCTCGGGACTGTTCATAATTTTAGAGGGTGCCTCGGGACTGTCCATAATTTTAGAGGGTGCCTCGGGACTGTCCATAATTTTAGAGGGTGCCTCGGGACTGTCCATAATATTAGAAGGTGCCTTGACTGGAAAAAGGTTGAGAAACACTGCTCTATGCATTGCATAATTTCAAAGGGTGCCTCGGGACTGTCCATAATTCTAAAGGGTGCCTCGGGACTGTCCATAATTTTAGTGGGTGCCTCAGGACTGTCCATAATTCTAAAGGGTGCCTTGGGACTGTCCATAATTTTAGAGGGTGCCTCAGGACTGTCCATAATTTTAGAGGGTGCCTCGGGACTGTCCATAATTTTAGAAGGTGCCTTGACTGAAAAAAAGTTGAGAAACACTGCTCTATGCATTGCATAATTTTAAAGGGTGCCTCGGGACTATCCATAATTTTAGAGGGTGCCTTGGGACTGTCCATAATTTTAGAGGGTACCTCGGGACTGTCCATCATTTTAAAGGGTGCCTCGGGAGTGTCCATAATTTTAGAGGGTACTTCAGGACAGTCAATAATTTTAGAGGGTGCCTCGGGACTGTCCATAATTTTAGAGGGTGCCGTGACTGACAAAAGGTTGAAACACTGCTCTATGCATTGCATTTCATGCATTGAGGTGTGCTACATTTAGTCAGTCCATTCATTTTAATTGGGCTGACAGTGCACCATAATGCGCGAAAGCACGGACCTGCAATATTTTTTTGCTATGCATTGCACCAGCATGTACCTATGGTTCACATCTGTGTGTCGCAGTGTTCTAAGACCCACTTAAAGTGTGCTGACTTGGTGTGTTAGGCTGCCATTGCTAGTTCTGGCTATCAATCACTACTCTTAGGTCCAAATCACAATTTCCAGTTGCAGCAACCACAGTGTGAGTTAATGTGCGTTCCAAGCGGCGGTGTGATGTGATGCCATTTATTTTGAAAGACATCCAACACACCTGCTTAGTAATGTACTGGTCGTGCCGTGTGCCCAATGCTGCGTTACAAAGAAGGAACATTTTACAATGAATGAACTGGCTTAACTAACCCGTTTTAATGTGCAGCAATATGCATGCTAACACAGCTGTGTAGTACAGCTAAATGGGTATTAAACCCAAAAGTAAACATTTATTATATTGCAGCTTACCTATTTCTCAAAGGTGATGGCTGCATTTGTTTTCTTTGTTAGGATTTCTTTTATTTATTTTCACCTGGTGATCCTGCTTGCTGTTTTTCAACAGAACAAGCTGTGCTTCCAATGTAACAGAGTGTTGAGACAAACCATTTACCACTGACTGGAATGCTTACAATGATCAGCTATTATTTATCGATGTAAAACCTTTATCCAAAAAGGAAAAAAAATAAAATGTTTGCTGTAACTGCCTATAAAGTGTGAGCTGGAGTTCGGCTTCAATTTGTTAGTGTATTTAACCATGTATATATAAAAGTGCCGCGCTATATATACATGTTTGCGTTGGGTTTGTTGCCTATACCTACTATATATTTATGTGGACTGATGTGAATGTACAATATATATGTGTGAAGCGCTGTGTAAATTGATGGCGCTATACAAGTACCTGTAATAATAAATAAAGAATTTTCATTTAGTGCTCGCTTACATATTTTGAGTATATTTAACCAATTCAATACTGAGCAATTTTACACCTTCCTGCCCAGGCCAATTTTCAGGTTTCAGCGCTCTCACACTTTGAATGACAATTGCACGGTCATACAACACTGTACCCAAACTAAAATTTTATTGCCCTGGGACCCTATAAGTTGTCAATCCGCCCCTGCAAAGCAGTGTATGGAAAGCATGGCTTCCATAGGGTAGGGCTTGGGACCCAATGAGACCGTATAACCATACAGGTTATGGTGAGAAGGGAATAAAGGAATCAAAAAGCCCCCCAACTAAATCAGTGCACAGCTCAGTAAAGCCTTCTTAGATGAGAAGGTATTCACGTCTCATTCTGTTACATATCCCAAAACTAAGAGAATTACTCCTCATTTCAGGACTTTGGGCAGAGCCATGCAAATCATTCTTTTCTGCCTCAATATTCAGCTGCACAGTCAGAATGGCCGGTGTATAGCACAGATATAGCCTACCATTATAGAACCTACCAGGGGCGGACTGACAACTCATGGGGCCCCCAAGCAATAGAGGATCATGGAGCCCCTGTGTCCTTGCCCAAACTTAAAAAAGCCTATGAAAAAGGTACCAAGGGCATCTCATGGGGCCCTCTACTGACCCCGGGCCCTCAGGCAGTGCCCGGATTTCCAAATGGTCAGTCCGCCCCTAGAACCTACTATTATAGATTTGGTTCTTGTAGCCCATTTTCTCCATAACCTTCTTCCTCAATGAATATTTTGCACTTTTAGCAGTACGATTATGCTACTAAAACTACTAATATGTAGCTTCAACAAAGTGATTGCAGATCTCATGGGTAGCTGAGTCCGAACGGCTCACATTTTCCTGATTTCCAGGCAGCAGTTCAGCTATGTAAATCCATGCTAAAAAGAAATCTTTTATTTCATCAGGGAGTTTGAAGAAGGCAGATAAAATGCACAATAAAAAATACACGTGGTTTTGGGCTCTATGTGTGATGGGACCCCATAGGAAAACCATCAAGGGTCCCTTTTCTCTCTTATTTCCATCGCAAAGCCAATTTCCCTGGTGATAGATAATAAAAATGGTTTCCATAGCAATCCTACAGAGATTCCCATCCTATATATACACTTGTTTTATCCATAATTATTTGCAGAACATAATTGCTACCTGTATACATGACCGCGCATCTAGACATCTCCGTACGCCGTAGCAATCACAGGGGCTGCTATGCCTATAGTTACTCTTTGTGCTTTGTACGTATAAAGCCAAAACTTTTTTTTATCAGTCTGGAAAGAACTCCTGTTGGGTTTTTTTTTTCTTTTTGCCATATAAGTCCCATTGGGGAGATTTCTCTGTGCTTCCTGTCCTGTAGACGCAACAGAAGGTCCAAAGAAATTTCCTCAAAATAGGGGAAAAGCCAAAACTTCTTTTTTTTATCAGACTGGAACAGGGGCGGACTGACAACTCATGGGGCCCCCGGGTAATAGGGGATCATGGAGCCCCTGTGTCCTTGCCCAAACTCAAAAAAGCCTATGAAAAAGGTACCAGGGGCATCTCATGGGGCCCCCTACTGACCCCAGGCCCTTGGGCAGTGCCCGAGTTTCCAAATGGTCAGTTCGCCCCTGGACTGGAAAGAAATAGGAAGGAATAAAACCCCTGTGTTTTTTTTTTTTTCTTTTTGCCATATGAGTCCCATTGGGGAGATTTCTGTGTGCTTCCTCTCCTGTAGACGCAACAGAAAGTCCAAAGAAATTTCCTCAAAATAGGGGAAAAGCCAAAACTTCTTTTTTTTTATCAGACTGGAAAGAAAAAGTAAGGAATAAAACCCCTGTTGTTTTTTTTTTTTTCTTTTTGCCATATGCATCCCATTGGGCAGATTTCTCTGTGCTTCCTGTCCTGTAGATGCAACAGAAAGTCCAAATAAATGTCCTCAAAATAAGGTAAAAGCCAAAACTTATCAGACTGGAAAGAAAAACGATGGAATAAAACCCCTGTTGGGTTTTTTTTTTTTTTTGCCATATGAGTCCCATTGGGGATATTTCTCTGTACTTCCTGTCCTGTAGATGCAACAGAAAGAAATGTCCTCAAAATAATGGAAAGGTACTCTTAGATTGTTGCCACCAGAACAAGTGTCCCCATTGAAGGAATTCTCCTCCAGTTGGATGTCCCATCATTTTCAGTGCTGCAATGGTCACCATGTAGTCAGGTGCAGTTTGGCCTCCCTGCAAGGGTGGTGCTATCAGGTGGCCACCGTGCAGAGAGAGCGTCAGACAAGAAAGAATCTAAGGTCCTCTGAGACCACCTTAGGTGTCAGGAGAGCAGCTGTCTGGTTGGATGCTTCTGCCCTGGCTGATCTTCATGGCTATCTTTAGTGATGGCAGTGCTAATAAATGCCACTGCCCCCCTTAAGTTGGTGCACATTTTACGATTGGTCAGGTAAGAGATAGAACCCTCTGGGGACAGCTTTAGATACAGATTGTCCAGCATAGGGACAGATTGGAGGAGGGACAGACTAGGGAGTGTCACTGTGTTTCGGGCAACTGTCCTCCCTTCTCAGGTGTGTTTGTGGCTTCCAGTCGCCTCCTTCATTGGATGCTATTTGATGTCATCAGTGAACACAAATGTCCTCTGTCCAGTTCATTGTAAGTGAACCATACAGAGGAAGCAGAAATGAGATACCCGTTGACCCATAAGAACTTATTTCCACACATTATTCTCTGAATAGGACATTTTAGCCATATATAAGAATACGTGGAAACAATACAATGTGGTAAATGAATTGGTTTCTAAACTTCAGACATGAAAATCTGCTTTTAGGACCTATAATAGGTCCATATGTGTTTTTAATGGACAGACCAATTTTTCATAATAAGGATTATATATTTAAAAATATTCTATGAATGTTCCGTGTCAGTAAAGTCTGATAGAAAAAGTTGTATACAATTCTTTATATATATACGGAAATGGCATATGAGTGTTTTATAAGGTGTAGATAGCATAGGATATAATTGGATTATTGGATTAATTGCCTATGAGATGGAGATTACAGAAACACAGGGACCCTTCAAATGCAAGTCTGGGCAAAAAAACAAATCATGTACAATATGTATCTGTGCAATACATGCACGTTTCCTTGTGTTTTATCCATTTGAAACACTGCCTCTGCTGCACTGAAATCCCAAGTAGTGTTGTCAGTCCTGCCCAGTGTATGGAGTAAGAAGGGAGGTGTTGTGTAGGTCAGCAGGGGAGGACTTAGGCAGAGCTGATAGCACTCTCTGGGATTTTAGTACAGCAGATGCAGTGTTGTCAGGTCAATACAATAAAACAGTATCTGGCAGATCAGCAGTATTTTTTACTTGCAGCATTGCAGAGATGTGTACTGCAGTTTTTTTTTTCCCCAAATGTGCAGTTACATAGTTTTGCTACAGGACACCATTAGAACTAGTTGTGGTCCTACATAGATTGCGGTAGGGCTATGCATTACAGAAGCTCTGTGATGTGCTGTGTTATGTATGTAGCGGCCCTCTAGTGTGCTACTAGATTACTGTAGGTAAATGTATTGTGTATGACTCATGGTAACTGTTGAAATCTGTAGTTGGGTTACTGTAAGTCGGGCTGAATGGCTTAACAGGTTGGGACTCTGTCGCCTCTACCTGGTTCTGGAGGACCATGGAACCTTCCAGAAACCAGTGAGCGAGAGGGGTGCAGACCTAATCTGGCGGATTAGGCGAATGGCGTTCCCTGCCTGGAAGTACAAAATCACGTATATATATGTGAATTTGCACACCCATTCCACCCTGTAGTTGTATTTCTGCTGTAGGTGGTAAAGAACCAGTTAAATCTGCTAAATAAGTGCAAAAAGTAAGCATTGATTTTTGCCAGAAATCGTGTGAGCTGATAACTTCCTTGCTTGTACACAAGGAGGGGCTATGGAGATTAGTAGGGAGGAGAGAAGATTACTGTGTTCTTTGTAATCCATCAGA